TGTGCATATGTATCGATATGAACAACGACATGACATACTACTCAAAAATCTTGTTCATATTCATGTGATGTAGTTGTGCATATGTATCGATATCCACATATTATGCCTTTGCTATGTGTTCATATGTTGTGTGTGTCCTTATGTCTTAGTATCTCTTGATATGTGATGTAATTGTTCATGTGTGTCAATATGAAAATCTAATGCATTTCATACAGCTGAACACTAATGAATCATAATATTTATATCTATTTGATTTGTGCAGTTTCATATGTGTTAATGTGTGTCCATATCTTTTATAATCTGTTCATATATGTTTCTCTATCAACTAAATTAATCCCTAAACATATGCAGTACCGAATGTGCATCGGATTTTTCAACGAATTCAACTATATTTGCAAGAATATTTAATGGTTCATAACGGTAATAGCTGTTCATTTAAACAAAATAAATGTCATACTAATCACTTACCAATCGGAACGCTTTGATCATCTTCTTCATCACCGGAATTCGAATTCCAACCGTAGTCGTATCCGATTTTAACTTTGTCATTTCCATTGTTAGCCATCTCTGGTGATTAATCAACAATTCGAAGTGGATCTTTGGTCTCTACCCGGACCCGATGAAAAGAATGAGACATGACCGATCAATAGAAATACTCCAACACTCCACTTTTGTCATATATTCCATTTTTTGTTTTTTTTTTTACGTGCAATATTATTATTCATATTACTCGGACGATACGGAAATCTTTTACACTTACAAAACGAATATCATTATATGTAGAACATCACTTGAAATCACGATCATGAACATAAATGAAGATAAAAATCAGAATTACCTAATGATCAATTAGAGGGATCTTTAAGATTTGTAACTCCCAATTAATTATTAGGGAATTACATAAAGGTCCAATTACATAATCACCCTTGCATTTAATTTATAAGTTACATTTGAACATAAAGTAAAGAAAGAATATGATTGGTTAGTCTTGATTAGTATGGTTAACACAAATTTCTTGGTTAGTATTTGAACCAACCTCTGTATAAATAATACATAAGTTAAAGCACAAATTCGGTCAACATAGACTTGGCCGGACTTCATCTCCGGTCAAGCCTTGGCCGGTTTACTAATCCGGTCAGCATAAGACCCTTGTCCGATTTACTAATCCGGACAGCTCTCTCTAAGCCTTGTCCGATTTAAATAAACCGGTCACCTCTTAATCGTATTCCTACTTCTCCGTTCAAAATGTTCAACATAACTCAATATTCATAAATCGCTCAACACTTGTCCGATTTAAGACTAAACCGCTTGACTCTTGATCGGTTTAGGTCTAATCCGGACAATACTCATCAAGCGGTTTATTTATAAATCGCTCATGCCTTAACCGGTTTAGGGCGACCCTTGTCCGGTTTATGGCTAAACCGCTTAACACTTGTCCAGTTTATGGTTAATCCGGACAACACTCCAGCGGATAACTTTTAAATCAAAAGTAAAGTTCTACAATCAATTATACAACTATGAAGAGTTTAAAAGCAGTAAGAATCACTCACCTTTAAATCTTTTGAAACCAAACACTTGAAATCAACTTGATCTTGTAATCCGGTCAACTTAAATCGCACAAACACTTCTCACAAATTGGCAGGAAACATGCAAATGGAGGTTGGTCCTCCTTTTATACTCTTCCCTTTTAGGAAGGTCGGCTACACCCTTGCCATGTGCATGCATCTCCTAACTTACTTATACATACATGCATATATTCATGCATACATATACAATCTTTCACAATTTACTAATTATGTATGCATATATATTCATACATGCATTCCATGTATAAAACACACATTCCCACATGATCAACTATATCAATTTATCATGTTGTTATGTAAGCATATAACCAATAATCACGTATTCATTACCTCAGGTGACAACCAAGATCTGATTATCACAATTTAATATAAAAAATATACATCATCATATAATAATTAATAAATCGGAGACCAAAAGAAATTAAATTTAATCTAAAAAAAATTAACGTCACATGTATCAAAACATATTGAGTAACATCCAAAAACACATCTAATAATATCTGAAATATATTGAAATAGAAATAAATAATATATAATATAATTTATTAATATATATATTAATAAATTATATTATTTATTATTTATTTTTATTTCAATATATTTCAGATATATATTGATAAGGGATGGGGCAGGGAGTTCGATAGCCATCCCCGTCCCCATCCCTAGTTTGAGCCAAATGGGGATCCCCGTCCCCGAGACCCGGTTTAACAGGAATCCTTGTCCCCGATTGGGCGGGTGGATTGGGTTCCCGACGGGTCGGGGCCAATTCCTATACTTGATCAAAATCACAAATTTGACCTTTTTTGGACCTATCTTCGACCAAGCCAAACCGTTGGTTTGGATTCAATCATTACCTTATCAGATCTAAACCAGTTCAAATCACCCATGTCTTTTTTCACATCGCATGAGCTAGATCGAGTTTTTTCGAACAATAACTCTTATAGATTGGTTCGTGTGTACAATCCTTCGTCCAAAGAACATCAAAATTCAAGGTTATGTTTTGACCATATATATATATATATATATAGACTTGGGATCATGTGAGACCAATGGTTTTTCGTGAGACTCGTAAGACCAATTCTCAACCCTTGGATTAGATCTACAATCGTCAAATTTGAACATTCTTAAACGCCACGAGACTTCTCAATAATCACAAAACTGCCACCGTTCAACTTTAGACCATTAGATCATTAGCTTATAAAGTTGATAAATGAACATAAATTGGTCTTACGGTTCTCACGAAAAACTCTTGGTCTCACGTGAACCCA